CTACCTACCTACCTCTGTCTCTCTCTCTCTCTCCACATCCATCCATGTTCGAAGTGCCAGACCCGCAGGTACATCGGGAAAGTAGAGCAAAGCCAGTCTGGGAGGGAGGGAGGGAGGGAGAGAGAGAAAGAGAGAGAGAGAGATCTGATGCATCTGATTGAAATGAGGTCTAGTTTAGACTGAGTACCTTTTCCACATTGAAACATCTTTGGCTTCTATTAAAGGTTTTGTGGATGAAACATGTCAAGACTATCAGGAAACTCACATTTTGTTGAGGCTTTAACAGGATCCATTGGACCAGATATCCACCCTAAAAATTACTTTTCCCCAATGTATTACAGTGCCAATTCTGAAGAACGCAAAACCAAAATGTACTGGTAAATTACAAGGAGAACACACACACACACACACTCCCTTCTAACCCTGCTGGAGCAGGTGATTGGACTAGAGTAGATATGTCATTATCTTTCTCCTCCCTCTCTCCTTCTTTATTTCTTTTTCTTTCTGTCCCTTCCTTCCACCTCCCCCTCTTTCTTTGTCCCTTTTTCTTTCTTTTCTTCCTTCTCTCTTTATCTTTCTCTCTTTTCTCTCTCTCTCTCTTTCCCTCTCTCAGGCTCACCCCATTGACTTGGTGCACTGCTCTGCTCGGACTTGCTTGGGCAGGTCCCTCTGGTGCAGCGGGCTCAATGGGGTGGATCTGCGGGGCCGGCACCTCGAACGCGGCAGTGGTGGCATGTTTGAACAGTAGAGCAAAGCCAGAGGTTGGTAATTTTTGCTGCAAAGAATGACAAAAGCTTCTGGGCTGTGCACAAGAAGGGACACACATGTCAATGCAATTCAGCAACATAAAATAAAGAAATACAAATAAAACAAATCAACAAGAATCAGAAAAGCGTCTCTGATTAGAGTTGATTCACTACTAGAATCTAATCAAAGATGCTTTGCCAATTCTAGTCTAATAATCTGCTCCAGCAGGGTTAGAAGGGAGTGTGTGCATGGCTGTCAAAACTCCAAAAACAGGTCAAGTAGCTCTGGGAAGGCCAGTCATAAATTAGAAGACTTGCTAAACAACCGGCCATTAAGTGAGGACCACTTGTATTTGGTTTGCCAGTCACCTGGCCACGCCCAACCAAATCACACCTACCCGGTCATGTGACCAGCAAGCCATGCCCAGCCAGCAAGCCATGCCAGCCAGTCACGTGACCAGCAAGCCACACCACCCAGTCACATGACCAGCAAGCCATGCCCACCCAGTCACGTGACCAGCAAGCCACACCCTCAAATTAGGCCACGCCCACAGAAATTTGAATCCCACCCCTGGGTGGGGGGCTCCGAGGATGAGTTTGTAGCACCAAGGGGGCAGTGGACTGAAACAGTTTGGGAACCACTAGGCTAATACCTTAGTCTGCACTTATCTTCCTTATCTTACTAGAAAGCGTCTTGGTTGACCAAAGCCATAATAAGGAATGGAGGTCAATATCTGGTAGTCCTTTGAGTAGCATGCATAACATGCATAACTGCAGGGAACAAAGAGGGCAATGATAAAATCATGTAACAATCATGCAAATTCCATTATTCCATATTTCATCAAACATTAGAATACAAATACCCGATCACAGCATTTACATGGTTACATTACAGTGCACATATTATCATGTTGGCAAAATTGCAGTTTGCTTTGAATGCTACTGGTGATGACTTCAGCATATCAAAGTTGTCAATTTGAAAGGTAGTTGGAATGAACAGCAAAGGAAATAATGAATGAAACTAAAGAAAGCAAGAAAAATAATATAATTTGTGTCACAGAAACTAATAGAAAGAGAAAGGATGTCACTTTTTTCTGAAAATGATCTGAACGTATGGCATATAAACGATGAATACATGCAGGGAAATGAAATTAACTATGAATAAAATAAAAATAATGTTAGAAAGTATAAAATGGTATTGCCTAAATATTAGGTGTACAGGAAATATGAATCTATAGATTGATTGGGGGGGGGCGCTCTACAATATTTTCAATAAGTACAATCCAAAAAATATTTTGTTAGGTGATATGTATGAGTGGATAACTGAAATGAAGTGAAAAAGTGCTGGAAAAAAAAGATTGGATTATTTAGATACGAAAAACTAAATAAGAATCATGACTGTCCAGTGAGTACTTGCTTAGAAAAAGGACTCTTACTACATTAACAAATACATGATTAATAAATATTTATTAAATCTATTCCAAAGTACAAAAAGTGAATGAATACAAAACTAAAACATTATTGATTTTACTGTCTATGATGAAATATTGAGATAATTAGTAAAAAAAAAAGGTTGATGAGAAGTGGTCAAAAGGAAGTGGAACTCACAATTGCTTGTTTAAGAGTCAAAGATCCAGTCTGGAATTCTCAGAGTCAAGACACTCCTGTAAAATAGCTCAGTCATAAAGGAGGTTAATATTGCTCCATTCAATCCTTACATTCCCCAATGTTCCCCTTTGATTTTTGCTCACCTTACTTTGTAATACCTTCCTCATACTATTCCCTCTCAGTTTTCTCCTCATCCCATTTTCAAGCTGCTACCCAGTATTATTGAATGCTGCTTTGCTTCTCTTCAACTGAATCATCCTTGTTTTTTGCTACTATGTTTCAATAGATCTATTGTGGTTATATAAGAGATTGTAAAGGCATTCGTGTATACAGATATCCAGAAAGTAAAGGAAAAGGGTGGGAATTAGTATGGATGAAACAGATCCTAAAAGGAGCAAGTAGGCACAAATTCACCTGCTAAGACAGATGCCAGCCTATGAGAATTGTCTTCCCTATGTAGATGTGAAGGGCAAGAAGTAGGGAAACAGTCAGTCAAAGCCTGCAATGACCATTATCCAGATTGAATTCAGATCTTCCCTGTTGCCAGA